AGTCTCGAACTCTTGGTGTTAAGCAATCCTCCCACCTCAGTCCCCCGAGTAGCTGGGACTACCAGCTTGCACCATCATGCCTGGCTCCAAAGACGTTTATTATGATAGTATTGTTTGGAATTGGAATGGTTAGGTGTAACAGGAAATATCGTGCAGTGGATATTTTCCACATTTTTTTTTTTTTTTTTTTTGGACAGAGTCTCGCTTTGTTGCCAGGCTGAGTGGAGTGCCGTGGCGTCAGCCTAGCTCACAGCAACCTCAAACTCCTGGGCTCGAGTGATCCTTCTGCCTCAGCCTCCCGGTAGCTGGGACTACAGGCATGCGCCACCATGCCCGGCTAATTTTTATATATATATATCAGTTGCCATTAATTTCTTCTGTTTATAGTAGAGACGGGGTCTCGCTCTTGGCACAGGTGGATGTTCAGGTTCGGTAGGCCCCGCCCGTTGCCCACAGCGGCCAAAGACTTCAAGGTTTTCTCTCGGCTGCCGGGCTGCAGGGCCGGACCAGCTCGCCCAAAGAGGCGCCCGTGCTTTGTGGCCTGGCCGCGCCGTTGCTGACGCCGTGCCCGTGCGTTTCCACGCAGGTCAGGAGCGCGTCGTGATTGCCGACGACCTCCCGCACCCGTTCGGCCTGACGCAGTACAGCGACTACATCTACTGGACGGACTGGAACCTGCACAGCATCGAGCGGGCCGACAAGACCAGCGGCCGGAACCGCACCCTCATCCAGGGCCACCTGGACTTCGTGATGGACATCCTGGTGTTCCACTCCTCCCGCCAGGATGGCCTCAACGACTGCATGCATAACAACGGGCAGTGCGGACAGCTGTGCCTCGCCGTCCCCGGTGGCCACCGCTGTGGCTGCGCCTCGCACTACACCCTGGACCCCAGCAGCCGCAACTGCAGCCGTGAGTGCCTTTCTTCCCCCACACCACACTCCCACGTTAGATTAGCCTGGCCGTGGGCGCCGAGGTCGAAAGGAGCTTTCCAGCTATGGTTACCTTGGTGTACATGGCAGGCTGGGCAGGTTGTGCACTGCACAAGCTGCATGATGCTACTTGGAGGCCCTGGCTGGGTGAAGGACTTGCTGCATCATCAAGACTTAAGTAAATGACGGCTGGGCACGGTGGCTCACGCCTGTAATCCTAGCCCTCTGGGAGGCTGAGGCGGGCAGATCGTTTGAGCTCAGGAGTTCATGACCAGCCTGAGCAAGAGCAAGACCTCGTCTCTACTATAAACAGAAAGAAATTAATTGGCCAACTGATATATATATATAAAAAAATTAGCCAGGCATGGTGGCGCATGCCTGTAGTCCCAGCTACCCGGAGGCTGAGGCAGAAGATCACCGGAGCCCAGGAGTTTGAGGTTGCTGTGAGCTAGGCTGACGCCACGGCACTCACTCTAGCCTGGCAACAAAGCGAGACTCTGTCTCAAAAAAAAAAAAAAAAAAAAAAAAAAAAAAAAAAAAAAAAAGTGGAAAATATTCCACTGCACAGATATTTCCTGTTACACCTAACCATTCCCAATTCCAAACAATACTATCATAATAAACGTCTTTGGAGCCAGGCATGATGGTGCAAGCTGGTAGTCCCAGCTACTCGGGGGACTGAGGTGGGAGGATTGCTTAACACCAAGAGTTCGAGACTGGCCTGGACAGCGTAGTGTGTGACCTTATATCTACAACAGGATCTTAACAGTCAGCCGGGTGCAGTGCCACATGCCTATAGTCTCAAATACTCGGGAGGCTGAGGCAGGAGGATTGCTTGAGCCCAGCAGTTTGAGGCTGCTGTGAGCTATGACTCTGCCACTGGACTTCAGCCAGATGACAAGAGTGAGACCCCATCTCTTTAAAAAACAAAACAAAACTCAACTGTGTGTATACTGTGTATAAAGCCTTTTTCTTGTGTTTTGAACAGTTCTTTGTCTTTTACATTTTCGTTAGTTGGAAACTTAGAATAAAGTTTCAGGAGGAAGAGTCCTGGGTGAAAGGATGCAAATGTTTTTAAGCCTCACACGTGTACATGTGTTATATGTGTATCATGTCCAAGTTGCTCTTTCTTAAAAGCTTGCATTTTGCTACATTTCAAATGTTCATTTTAAAACTCTTGAATGTTGATGGCCTGATCCCAAATGTGGTCAGCAGTTGCTCTGGGTGGCCGAGCTCCTCGAGGTTAGGTGTCTGCAAAAGACGCTGGTTCCTAAAGCGTGGCCCTTTCCCTCCTCACCTGCCGCCAGACCATCAGCCGCGCCTTCATGAACGGGAGCTCGGTGGAGCACGTGATCGAGTTTGGCCTCGACTACCCTGAAGGCATGGCCGTCGACTGGATGGGCAAGAACCTCTACTGGGCCGACACCGGGACCAACAGGATCGAAGTGGCCCGGCTGGACGGGCAGTTCCGGCAAGTCCTCGTGTGGAGGGACTTGGACAACCCAAGGTCGCTGGCCCTGGACCCCACCAAAGGGTAAGGGCCTTGGCATCTGTCCCCATGCCCTGCGACTGCTCTGCCCTGGCCAGCACCACCGTGCCAATGAGGCAGAGTGGGTGGCCGCCCGCCTGGCACTGTGCGATCCGAGTTGCACTGACCGCCGTTCCCTGCGAGCATGGCCAGGGCTGTTAGGACCCTGGGAGGTCATCCAGTTCACTCACGGAGGGAAGCTGAGGCCAGAGCAGAAGGAAAGGACAGATGCCGCTGTATCAGGCACTGTGCTGGCTGCGTTCACCTGGGCTGGCTCGTTGGAGCATCTGGGGTGGATGTCTATGTCTTTGATTTCATAGATGGGGAAACTGAGGCTCGCAGAAACGAAGTGATTTCCCCAAGGTCATGAGGCCAGCTAGAGCAGAGCTTGGCCCAGACGTTGTATCTCCGGCTCCCATCTAGGCCTCCTTTCCTGGCGCCGTGTTGCCAGACTCTGGGATCCCTGAGCTGGCGTCGGGGTCCTCGGGTTTCAGGCTGCCCGGGAGCAGCTCCTTGCAGGCCACTGAGCTGCAGCTGAGCACCGCCTCTGGAGGGAGACGTGCTTTTGTCTGTCGGGCCCTGCCATGGGCTCTGGGGCCTCACAGGCCCTCGGCAGGGTCTCTGCCTGGACCTGAGCTTGCCTTTCTGTGTGGCGGGCACAGTGCCCACCCCCTAAAGTGTCCGTGATGTGCGTGGAGCAGCTCAATCCCTGCCTGTCACGTGCTCTGCTATGGGAGAAAGGGCGGTTCCCGCACGGCAGGACACACAGAATGAGGCCCAGGTTTAAGGGGAAGGGCAAGGGGAACTTACAAAATCCTGGCTTTAGGATGTGTTTCATTTTCTGGATCTGCTAAGAGGAGGCAAGGAGGAGCCAGGGGAGCAGCAGAGGGCCAGGTCTGCACCCCAACCTGGGAGGCTGCCTCTGCCTGGACCCCGTTTTCCACCCTCTTCACGAGGGGATTGTCCGTCCATTGTGCCCCAGTCCATCCTGGCTTCTGCCGTCTCCCCGAGTCCGGTCGAGCTTACTAAGCATTTGTCCTGATGGAAGTGCCCCAGCCTGGGTGTTCTAGACGCGGTTGCCTTGTCTCTGCTCCTGCTTTCGTGTCTGTAGTGGTGTTTGCTCGCCTTGCAAGTGAGCCGCTGCCGGAACTCGGGGAGGTAGCACAGCGATGGCCCTGTGGGGACGTTTGGGCTGCAGCAGGGGCTCAGCGGGGGGCTCGCCCCTTCCCTGCTTCCAGGACCTGGCTTTCTTCAGGAAGGGAGGGCTGAGCTGAGCAGATGGTGGCATTTTGTGTCCCTCGCCCCCTCTGCCTTGATGGGAGGGGACTCACCAATCCCACCTGCCTTCACCCCATGCCTTCCAGCTACATCTACTGGACCGAGTGGGGCGGCAAGCCCAGGATCGTGCGGGCCTTCATGGACGGGACCAACTGCATGACACTGGTGGACAAGGTGGGCCGGGCCAACGACCTCACCATTGACTACACTGACCAGCGTCTCTACTGGACCGACCTGGACACCAACATGATCGAGTCGTCCAACATGCTGGGTGAGGGCGGGCCGAGGCCCTGTGCTTCGGCATGGGGTGGTGGTGGGTGTCAGCCACCTCCCGGCCCCACCACACTGTGCCCCTCGGGCCTGCAAGTCCCCTGTAGGAGGTGTGGACACACCGTGAGCTCATCAGCCTCACCCTCCTGGGGGTTGTCCCTGTCCCCCTGTGGTGACATTGCTGTGGTCCCTGGTCGCAGCTGTGCCTGTGCACCTGCCGGCACCAGCTCCCAGCTAGGCCCTGGGCAGGGACATAGCAGAGGTTTTCATTGATGGGGAAACTGAGGCCCAGGGAAGTCACATGACTTGCCTGAGGTCACAGTGCTAGTGAGTTGTGGAGCCCTCCTCGGACACGGGCTCTCAGTCTCCACCCAGCCCCGAGCCCCTGCTGTGCTCACAGACTCCCAGCACCCCAGGGAGGCTCCTTTTTACAGATGGTGAAAGTGAGGCTCAGGGAAGCTTTGAAAAAACCCGTCCCAGCTCCTCCAGCTGCAGGGGCGGGATCCGAACCTAGAGCAGGAACTCAGACTGTTCTGTAAGAGGGGAGTGGGTACGTTAGTTGTCCTGGACGATGTGCCAGGGGACCCCCACCCCGCCCAGTTGGGAGAATGGAAGGGTGACGGGGCAGAAGCTCCAGGGGCTCAGGCCTGACTCCCAGGCAGGCCTCGGCTTCCGGGCTGACGGGGAGGAGAGGGTGTGGCCGGCCGTGCAGTGCTGGGATGGTCACCCAGACAGCCCTGGCTTTGGTGACCTGGGCTGGCCGATTGTACCCTGGGCCTGGCAGAGCCTCTGCGAGCCGTCCAGCGCGAGGGGCCTTCAGGAAGGGCCAACAGAATTTGGCTTCCCGCCTGATACTGCTGCTGCCGCCTGTGGTGGGCATGGCTGTGCCGCAGTGTGGACGCGGGAACCGGCGCGTAGGCGAGCTGGATGCCGTGTCCCAGGCACCGTGCGCCAGAGCTGGAGCTGGAACCCCGGTGCCCCGGTTTCTGCCTAGGGCGGCTGCACCCACCACAGACCCTGACCGCCCTGGGGTGTGAAGTCAGCGGCAAGGTCTGAGCGTGTCTTTGAGACCCGCACCCCAGCTCGGCGGTGAATTGCGTGACCTTGCTCGTCTGGTCCTTACCCGAAGCTGGTGCCAGACCAGAAACCAACCGCAGCGCAGCTGTGGTTCCTGAAATATTGCGCTCGTTAGTCACCCTGGAGTGAGGACGGTCCCAGCTGAAAACCAGCAAGGCCCTGGTGACTGGCCTGAGCCTGCAAATCGAGGGTGGCTGTATGCGCGCTGAGCCTGGCTGTCCCCCTGCTGTGTGGCTTCTGTTCCGTGCTCTGGGTGTCACTGAGCTTGATTAACAGCGTGGACGGCCTGGGCTCGTCACTGGGGGAGCAAAGGATGAGTGACAATGCCCACCGTGGCGTGAGCCGGCGGGGACATGGGCGTGGGGCCTCCCTGCCCGGGCTGCCCCCGGCCCTGCTGCTTAGGAATCGTGTGACTTTAGCCGAGTCGCTTACCCTCCTGTGCCCGGGTTCCTAGTAATAATGGTGCCTTTCTCACAGAGTTGACGTAGGAATTAATTAGATAATATGGACAAAAGCACCTCTCATGTGCCTGGGACCCACTGAGTGCCCCCTGAGGGTCCTCTGAATGTCCGTGAGGGTTATTCTTATTGCTGTCAGTATGCAACTTACACTGCGTGAGCACACCACCACTCACTGTTGCCATGTATTTGGGTTGTTTCCAGTCTGTGACTGTTACAAGTAGTCATGCACCACGTAACGTTTGGGTCAATAAACAGACCACGTCAGTGATGGTCCCGTAAGATTATAATGCCGTATTTTTACTGTGCCTTTTCTATGTTCAGATATGTTTAGATACAGAAATACTTCCCCATGTGCCACAGTGGCCTGCAGGATTCACTGGGTACCACGCGGTCTAGGTTTGTAGCCTGGGAGCGAGAAGGCTTACCGGGCAGCCTGGTGTGGAGTGGGCGGTGCCAGGTAGGGCCGTGTAAGTGCACACTGCAGTGTTTGCACAGCGAAATCGCACACTCACACCTAACGGCCCGTTTCTCAGAACACATCCCTGTCGTCAGCGACTCGTGACTGTGCTTCCTGCTGTGGACGTTCTCGAGGTGTGGTTTTGGTGGCTGATGCGTGCCCCTCTATCTCTATCTCTCCCTCTCTCTCTCTCTCTCCCTCTCTCTCTCCCTCTCCCTCTCTCCCTCTCTCTCTCTCCCTCTTAGCTCACAGCAACCCTCAATCTCCTGGGCTCAAGCGATCCTCCTGCCTCAGCCTCCCGAGTAGCTGGACACAGGCAATGCGCCACCATGCCCGAGTTTTTTCTATTATTGGTAGAGACGAGGTCCTCGCCTTGCTCAGCTGGCGAGCGTGAACTCCTGAGCTCAAAACGATCCGCCGCGCCTCAGCCTCCCAGAGGGCTAGGATTACAGGCGTCGAGCCACCGCGTGCCCAGCCGTCATTTACTTAGTCTTGATGATGCAGCAAGTCCTTCACCCAGCCGGGGCCTCCAAGTAGCATCATGCAGCTTGTGTAA